CTACATGAGGAATTTTTATTTCAGTGCACTGGGGTCCACAGTCATACACCACGCAGGGGTAGAGGACTGAGGACCCTGAGTACAGAATCAAGACAGCCTTTATAGGGTTTACAACAAAGCCTACACATCGTAAACCAATCATCTCATAGCATCAAAAGCCCGCAAGGTGCGGGCCAATCAATTTAAACCATTTTATAGTTTTTAGACCAGTCATTTTAAGTCATCCAAGCCTGTGCTTTATAGACCAATCAGTTTTCTATAGTCCCAGAGGTCTGCATTTGCGTGGGCTCCTAGACCTTTAGCCTATTTACAGGCAGAGGACAGGGTCTGGAATTTAAGGTAGTTAGGGCTTTTTAGATAGTATTTTTAAACTTCTAGCTTCCTGGGGTCATTGGAGAGTTAGGATGTATTTTTCCATCCTTACACACCCACTCAGTAGACCAGGCTAGCCTTGAACTCACAGAAATCCACCTGCCTCTACCTCCCAAGTGCTGGGATTAAAGGCATGCGCCACCAGCACCTGGCACGAAAACATAAGCTTTAAAGTAAATGATACAAAAAAAGGCGAGGCTACAGAGACATAGACACAGACTAAGATGCTGAAAGCCCTCCAGGCTGCGCTTCTGTCTTACGTGGAAACTGACTTGCCGTCACAATATATTGGGATAGGTTGAAAACAGACTTCTCAAGAATGCCATAAAATTCAGAGAAACCACATGCAAAGCACACGTATCAATTTTGAATCAGGATTAAGTCTTTAACAAACACTTGCTCACCTGTGAGTGACAGACCAGAAGTAACCCCTGACTTAAAATCAAGTGCCAGCCAGGTTGCCAGGAATCCCAAGTACAGACTTGCTGGACTGCTTCTGTGATTGTGGTTAGTGAAGGCAAAATATAGCTAAAGAGCTACTGCCACCTAGTGACATTACAGTGTCATAGCACAACACCTTGCTCATATATCTCATGTCACCTGTATAAAAAACCAGTTCATTGTCAGTCATATAAATCACATCACTAATAGACAACTATTGTATTATGTGTTAATAGCTTATGTATTTACTGTAACATACTTTAATGGATATTTTAGAGAATATTCCTTCTGCTTGTTTTTTCCCCCCTTATAAGTTAAATTTAAACAGCCTCAGGCAGGTCCTACTCAAAGTACTCCAGCAGAGGCTTTGTGATCATAGGAGGTCACACTCCAAGTGTTACTGCCCTGAGGACCCTCCTGAGGAATATGGAATGCAGTGGTGGTAAGCTTGATCCTGCTTAGGCATCAGGTAATTTGTGTGTGTCTTAATTTTAACCAAATGGAAATAAGCTTAGAAATTTTAAGTATATAATTTAAAATATAAAAGTAAATTATAAAATTCACACTTAAAATTGCATGTTAATACAATGTGTTTCTTTTTAAATACAGTCAAAAATTATTCTTATAGGGTTAAAATATTTCAGTATGCTAAACTTTAATGCCTGAAGAAAATGTTTTTACAAATTTAGAAGAGTCCATGTGTTTCATGTTTGCAAAGTCTACAGAAGTGTACACATGGTCTCCCATCTTTATATGCATTCATCACTCAGTCTCCAACTCACTCAGAATAACTTACAGTACTGGAAGTTTCAGTTGGAGCATTGGGCGTTCACTTGGGGCCACAGCCTCACTCTGATTAGGTCCTTGAGGACTTAATGTTGAACTATAACAACCTACATATTCAGGACAGCAATACTGCGTACATGCTTTAGCTTTAGAAGTCCTGAGCTAGACCATGTAGCCTAGATATTTGGAAGACTGTAACACCAAGGTTTATATAAAATTGAAACCACTTAAAGATATATTCTTTGAGTTTCTTCCTGTGGCTGAGTGAAACATAATCAATCACACATATATGAAACCATGCATTTAGCCCTGCCCACTCTGTGATGGATATTATTCTTCTACCCCGACTTAGACAGGGCCCTAGGATTTGCTTTGGCCAATTAAATATGAGGAGAAGTTGTTATGCTTCCCTCTGAAGTGAAGGCATTTAGGTGACAGTGATTCATTCCTTCTGCTGTGGCAACTAGTAATTGTAGAAGAAAATTCCAGTAAGGAGGTGCTACAATAGGAAAGAAGTCTAATGATCCTCCAACAGACGATAGTGTGCTGGAAACCTTCCCCATCCCCCATATCCACTATATTTGAACAAAAAGTGAGCCTCTGTTGCATTGAACTAGTGGGATTTTGTCCTTTTAGCACAATATCAGAAATGCAACACCATGAAAACAGAGCCAAGGAGAAAGATGTAGAAATTGTTATCTAAACAATAAAGGAGAAAGTGGAACCTGGGGTCCCTTTCCTGTTTTGTGTTCACCTCTCTGCAGTGCTCCTCAGCTATAGGGGAAGTGTCACATGCCATTGGGCGTATCCAGGTGACTCGTGAAAACAAATCTATAAAAAAGTTTTAAGACCCATAAATTGCCCAACATTTTGCCATCTTGCAAAATCTTCACTACTTTACCTGTCAAGTCAGAGATAGATGCGGTAGTAGGAGGTCTCAGTAAATTGCAGCCCTAAGTATTGTCCCAGACAATCATTTTTCACAAATAACCCAACCTCTACGCAACACACAAAGGCTCTGGGGGACCAGGAAATATTACAGCAGCTGTGAAAGCTGTGTATAGCAATTTCTTCAAGCCTTGCATTATTCTACATATAACTGAAATATGAGGGCCATTAATAAAATTGTTGACACTGAAGGAGCCCTGAAATATGCACTGTCTCTGGTTATATTCCTGCTTACAGAGCAGGTTTCCCCCTATGCTCCCCTCTAGACCTGTGTAGAGCAGACAAGATCCATCTTTTATCCACCTGTAACTGGGATTTACAGCGTGAGATGCTGAAGTACACATCTCACTTCAATAGCTGCCAGACCCAGCACTTGACACAAGTACAAACACCAGCACGTGATCATGGTTTCTTAATACTCAGGGTTTTAATCCAAGAAGCATGCTGGCTTAGGTCTTCCCCCCCCCCCCCCCCCCCCCAGTGATATTTCTTGTGATACTAAAAGCTGAAGCTACGGATAAATGAGTCCATCCTGGAGGGATGTAATAAAAAGAAAAAAACAAGACAGTGAATCTGAATGGAGGAGAGGTAAAAGAAGAAAGAACAGTAGAAAACATACAAATGGGAACTCTGGAGATTCTAGAGCATGGGGAGAGACAGAGGGGAGAGAGACAGAGAGAGAGAGAGAGAGAGAGAGAGAGAGAGAGAGAGAGAGAGAGAGAGGCAGGTCTGTGCTTTTCTAAGAATATAGTGACCCTTTCTTGCACAGACAGTTCTTGATGGATTCAAGGTTCAGACAACTTTAATGGAGCTCTTGAGGGAAGGATGGGAGAGTAAGAGCTTCCTTATTTAGAAACTAAGCATTTTGTGCTAGGGACAAGATTCAACTGGTAAAGTAGTAGTTGTTGTGCAAGGACTTGAGTTCAGTCTTGAGGCCCTGAGTTCAATCTCAAGAATCTAAATAAAATATTGTTTAATGCAGGCATGATGGTAAGCTTCACTTGTAACACCACCCAACACTGCTAAGGCAGACAATGGAACCCTGGGACTCACTGGCCAGGGGTTATTTCATTGCCTCAATAAACAAGGTGGGTGGCTCCTAAGTAATAAAAGCCAAGGTTGATTTTTGACCTCTACACTCACTGACACACATGCTCCCCCATGCGCCAAAAAGTGTGACATGCACAAATAGATATAAAATAGATACCAGATGCTTGCTGTATATAGAAGATTCTACAGATAAAGAGTTTATTGAAAATCTGCAAACTCTGAATTGACCCTGTGATAACAGTGTGTGTGTGTGTGTGTGTGTGTGTGTGTGTGTGTGTGTATACACAGATATGCACATTTATGGATGCCTTGGTTGAACTCTTTCTTCCTTGTTTAACTTCATCATCCCTTTGCTCTCTGCTGCATATGCTCTCAGGCAGTTTGTAACTAAATGGCCCTTTAACTAGCTAGAACAATACCTTAGCACCACTAACTCATCCCAGTGGCTCACGAAACTATTTTTAACTCGATCATAAAAGGCATTTATATTACATACATTATTAAAGAGGACACATCTTGGACACAATGTGTTCTGTTTTTCACACTGGGAAAACTTAGTCCTGAGGATATAAAGGTGACTTTGTCAAGGCCACAGAGTGATTCAGGGATAGAGTGATATGAAATTGACTGGGACACTCTTGCCAAAAGGTTTTCAGCTGTGACTTTTCAATGAGGCAAGTTTTCTTGGAGGGGGGCAGTAAATGTCTTAAAACCTCACATTCATCAGTCTTTGTGTGTGTGTGTGTGTGTGTGTGTGTGTGTGTGTGTGTGTTTCCCGTCCTCTCTTTAGCTACCACCATCACCACTTCCTTCTTTATGTATCTTATATCATGCTATTTTTCCAGTTTTCTCTCTTCAGTGAAAACATGTTGGGAAGACATTATCAGTGCTAAAACCATTCTCTTATGACATATTTTAATTCTTTTACAACATATTGATTGATCCATTTTCTCTGAGTGAAGCCATTATCACTGGGCTAGTTTATATCCTGAAAGTTTTATTTTTCCAGGTGATTATCGGCCTTTTGCTGGTTTTCCAAGCCTTTGCCTCATATTGATGCCTATTAATGTGTGGTTATATATGAGAGCTACTGAAAACTGAAATTGTTTTAAGAACCAGCTCTATTCCAATTGTCCCTGGAAGAGTCGATGTGTTTTCTGAATATTCCTTTCCATACTTCCGGGCAGAAGGGAATGCTGCGTAAGGAGGTTTGTTTGCTCAAGGTGAACACTAAAATCTCAGCCTACAATTCTTGGTTGGGTGTGGATTGCTTTAGGTCTCTAATCCACAGCCCTCCGCTGTGTCTCCGGCTGCCTTGTTGGAGCCGCCAGGGGGGCGCTGTGGCCCGGAAGCGTGGCGGCGGCTTGGCGCAGACCCTCCCCCCCCTCCCGCGTCCCGGCACCGCCCAGTCTCCCAAGCTCCTTTGCGGGTAAACAGACATGGCCGACGAGGGAGATCACCCGGACGCTGCGCACAACATGGGCAACCACCTGCCGCTGCTGCCTGGTAACCTCCGGGACGGGCGCCTGGCCACGGGTGGAGAGCGAGGCCCGGGGCCGACCCCTCAGGGCGGACGGGGACAGCAGCCGGGTGCAGCGGCGAGTGGGGGAGCTTCTCATGAGCCTCGAGCACTGCAGCCCAGCGCTTTCCTCCCGGCCTCTGCCTCCTGGGCTGGGAGATGTTGGGTGGGGGGGGGGGGAGGCTTTCGTTTCCCAGAGCAGGGACCCAGTCCTTGCCATCCTTCTCCTTAGCACACCTCCGTGGGAATGCTCTGGGACCAGGCGACGTCGGAAACCGGGTTACTTTAGCAGCCGTTACTTCTCCTGCACGTCTGTCTTTCAATAAGACTGACAGCTAATATGTACTAAGCACTTACTTACACGTCACTCGCCACGAAGCGGATGCTTTGCATGAGTTTCTGCTTTTAGGGCGACACCTGTCACCTGTTCAGAACCTTGCTGTCCGGGAGAGATGTGTCGACGAGTTGTTAAATTGTGTGTACGGTTTAGTGATGTGGAAGGTCACACAGTTGTTCTGCGGTGTGCTAGTCTGTCAAGCGCAACAGGTATCACGTAGCTACCTCTCTCTCAATTGAGGCCGTATTTGGTGGGTTTTCGCAGTTTGAAAGTAATATGTTTGCATATTACTACTCAAGAGAGTGGCATTGCCAATTCCTCTTTCCTGTTCACTTTATGCCCATATACTTTGTGGCAGCTTATGTTGCAATACTGAATATTAAAAGTGCATGAACTAATGGTACATACTAGTCCTAGAACGCTATATACAACACAGACTGTTGCCCAGATCTTTTGGGTCATAAACCACACAGTGTGTTCGCCTTTGTACGAAAACCATCACTACACACACCATTCTACTTTAAGGAGGTTCGCAGTAGTGGTGAGGCTGAGAATAATTATAATCCCAGGTGCAGTTCATTTAGGGCGGGATAAGCAAGTGCTGTTAAGGTATCTGGGGTTTGTGTTTGATTCATTGCTATGCTGGATTGGATACCAGGGTCTTTCAAACCCTATTGAGCTGTGTCTCCAACTCCTCTTGTGATTCTTCATGGGTAGGGATTATTCTGGGGTTAGAGCAATTGAAGAACAGTCTTGTGATGTAGATTTACTTAGAATACAGTTGTGGACTAGCTTAGTTGTAAGTTGTTGAAAACTTGTATCTTTAGTCATTTGAGTTAGGAGCATTTTTTGTGGGTTGTGAAGAAATAATTTCAGATTTCAGTTAGTTACCTAGGGAAAGCTATGTTTTGGGTATGAATCTGTTCCCTGGTAGTTTAGCCGGGTGGGAGGAAATGCTGGGTGCCATGCCTGTGCATAGAAGGCACCTTTTGTCTAAATCACTGGTTGTTTGAGAAGCTGTACTGGCTGAAATTGGTGAAGGTAGGTAAGTTGTCTTCAACAGAAGAGATTTCAGTGACGTCAGCACCCCTGTGGATATGCCAGAGGTTTAGAGAGAGTGGTGGAGTAGAAGGATGCCCATGTCCCGCTGGCACCCACCAGGGTTCCTGCATGAGTCATCAGTAGCTCTGAAAAGTCCGTGTGTATTTTCTCAATTCAAAATATAAGAAGCAAGAGGTTCCCTGATGTTGTAGATGTAGAATAAAGGTTTTCCAAATTAGAAGTTTTATTTCTGGGAAAGGTTTGGCTTGCCTACCCTCTGAATCCTTGTAGTATAAGCTGATTTGAAAAAGTGATCATCTTTAAGTGCTAAGGAAATTGCTTAACATTTTAGGTGTGAAGAATCTATACTGGACAATTCAATGCTCAAAAATAAACATTTCCAAGTGGGAGAAATAGGTTTTAGCTTTGTTGATGAGAATGGCCACCATATATAACAAATATCTTTAAAGAATAAAGATAGAAAATGTCAGGTGTAAATTTCATACATCTGCAGCCCTTGAGCTAATAGCAGATATTTAAGTTTGCTGTAGGAAGAGAATGACTCTCTCCAAATTTCAAGTAAAATCCAGGTTTTTAGAGTTGTAGGTAAAAAAAAAAATTACATTTGGGATGTTTTTCTCAGTTTTGTCTTGATCTTTTGAGGAAATTTCCCTATTGTCAAGAGAAATGTGTTCAGAAATGTTATTATCAACTGTCTGCATACAACTTGCAGTAGTTATGGTCTTCTCTCGGCAAAGCCATATATCTAAGAATTCGTAATAAAGTTCCAAGCATTTACTTTATTGTAACATCTTTGTATTTTCTGTTAGGAAACTACTTACAGGTGGTTTGATTTAAAAAATAAAAAAAGTAATTTTCATAATGGAAAAGCTGACCTATTTGAAATTAAACCTTATGCATTTAAAAGTTTTGGGTGGGCAGTTAAAATATATGAACAGAAATGAGATTCGGTGCGTATTGATTCTTAGTTTAGGCCAGTGTTTCCCAACCTTGAAACTGTAAATATTTCAAGCTGGAGAATCCCTTCTTAAGCGGTACAGGTGCTTAGCAGCATTCCTGGCCAGCACCTAATATGGATTCCCAGGATTTTTCTAGTTATGACAGTCTTAAGACAGTTCCAGATATCATAAAGGGACAAAATTATCCTTGGATTGGGAAATGAACCCATAGTTGGGGGGAGAAGAACAGTTCCTACTTGATAGAGTAACACCTTTGAAAAGTAGTGGTTTGTTTTGGTGTTTCAGGCTTTCATCTCTGCCCTTGGTAGCATCAAGTTTTAAAGTTTAAAGCAGTGTGCAGCTTACTTTGTGTGTGTGTGTGTGTGTGTGTGTGTGTGTGTGTGTGTGTGTGTGTGTGTGTGTAGATGCAGGAAGACTTCTTAAAGCTCCTTTAAAATATATTTTTCTTTGTGCCATTATTTTTTAAATTTAACGAAGCAATGTTTGTAAAAATAATTGCAAACATTTCATTTTTAAATATGGTGGTGACTGCCAGAAAAGTTGTCACTGGGAAAGCAATGCCCACTGCCAGGTACTAATGGAATTGGAATTGTTTTCTGCTTTAACAGATCTTTCTTGCCTATATATTTCTTCCTTGCTTTCTTTCTCACAGAAGGACTCTTTCCAGCTAAAGTCTGAATGATCCTTAGAGATTATCATCTTCAAGCCTTCATTTTTTTCTTCAGATGAAGAAGCTAAGCTTTAATCAGTTGGAGTTTATTATGTAAGGGGTCAGAATTAGAGAAGAGAAAATGATGTATACAGGAGAACTGAACATAATTTAGCTGTTGGATTGTAGGCTGTACATGGGGATCTGTGTTCTAAAAGTGCAGTGTGAAAGGAGGGAGAAGGGAATGTTATAGTGAAGGAGCCTGATGGCTGTTTGCCCAGACAAGTGATCAAGGGAACTAAGTCAGCTGGACTATGTGAAGTGAGGAAACACCAGGAGCTCAGCTGAATCCTGAGAATTCCGTTCAGCTGATCCCAATTGGTGAATGCTGTGTAAAGTACCTAAAACTTAGTCCAAATGATTGTGGTCTCCCCAGACACAGAAGAACAGAGCAGTTGGCCTGCCAGAGGCAACAAAAGAGCCATGATACCTAAATATAATGTGGTGCCCTGGAGGGGAGTCTGTATCAGGAAGAGATTATCCAGAAATCTGAGGAAGTCCAAGTAAAACAAGAAATTTAGTTAATAGTAATGTGCCAGTATTGATGACATAGTTCTGACAAGAATACCAAATAAATGTAGGGTGCTAACTGTGAAGGAAAGTAAAGTCTCGGCATACTAGAATTCTCTTTTTCCAATATTCCCATAAATCTTAAAGTGTTCTAAAATAGTTGATTGTTAAAAATGAGGAAAAGGAGGAAAGCACAGTCAGGGCAGAAAGAGCATAGGCCCACTTTCTGCTGCCTCTGCCCAGCTTTCTTAATAAGAATGTCTCTCCGGAGGGTAGGGTATGGGAAGGGAACAGAGCTGGCTTTGTTCTGAATCTCGGTTTTTTCTTCTCTTACTCTACTTCAGCAGAGAGTGAAGATGAGGAAGATGAAATTGAAATGGAAGTCGAAGACCAGGATAGTAAAGAAGCCAGAAAACCAAACATCATAAACTTTGACACCAGTCTGCCAACCTCACATACAGTATGTAAATTTAGTCATTGAGCTAATACAGTAGATGAACTGTTAACTGTGCTTGGAATTTCCTAAATGCATGACTGACTGAAGGATTCCTGCATATTAGCTGACCCTTGAACTTGTGGATGAGGACGGGCATTTAAAATTACATGGCAATGTAATACTATAGTCTCATGTGATTCCTGACTATTTTCTAATATGCAAACATACAACCTTAACTTTTAAATTTATCCTGGGTGTGCCTCTTCAAGGAATTGTCATTTTCTGACTGATTCTACTAGTAACTGAGCCATTAAGAGTGTATTCTTGGTACTGCTGGGATGTGGGATAGAATTCCTCATACTAACATTCTGTCATAAGAATGGTTGTATTTGGACACAGGTGTTTTTGGTTAAAAGAAAGGGGGGTCAGTATTTTGAGTTACAAAATACCAATCAGAGATTCTTCATTAAAAACTGGGAGTTCTAACTGGAAATACTAGATCAAAAATTAGAGTTTGATAGAGATGTGCTTATGTGACCACACTTACATAAATAAATGTGTGCTCTGTCTAGTTCTTTGACTCTGCTTTACTCTTAATCTGTTAAGGTGTATTAAGTGTCTGTCTTGACTCTGTGTGTTCTTGAATAGTATCTGGGAGCTGATATGGAAGAGTTTCATGGGAGAACTTTACATGATGATGACAGCTGTCAGGTAATTCCAGTCCTTCCGCAAGTGATGATGATCCTGATTCCTGGGCAGACGTTACCACTGCAGCTGTCTCATCCACAAGAAGTCAGCATGGTGCGGAATTTAATTCAGAAAGACAGAACCTTTGCGGTTCTCGCATACAGGTAAGAGGTTAGGTGAATCTGCCTACCCATGCTGCATCCTGTGTTGTCACAGCCAAGACCAGTGTGGCAGCCAAACCCAGCTGGAATTTTGTAGAAGATGTTGGATAAGAGTGTGTGTATGTGAAGCAAGCACTCTTGTCAAAGTACAAATTGGGTATCATTAATACTATTTTCATCGCTTTGTAAGTCAGACATTTACTTTTACAATTTAGCTGTGTCTGGCTCTTGAAACACTTGCATGCATTTAATGGAAAACCTGCCTGGAATCTGAGTTCAGAACTGTTTTTATTCAAAGACAGCTGGGCTTTTATATTTTATACAGAGGCTACTATTCCCTTTCAAAACTCACACCATATTGGACCAACACAAAACAGTGGTAAACTGAAGCTGTCCTTTAAGTAGCCTTTGGCAAATGAAGGAAACATGTGGTAGAGACAGGAAATGGAAACAGGAAGCCTCCCATCACCACACACACACACACACACACACACACACACACACACACACACACACACACACACACAGTGTGCTGCTAACTAGCAGCAACCATCATTGTCTAACAAAGTGGAAGACTGTTTACTTTGTGAAATGAGACCTAAACACTCTTTAGCCCTAGGTCATTTCAGTGACTCTAAGCCTACCTTATTCTAAGCTGCAGTTTACCTTCTGGAAACTCATGTGCTGGCTTTACAGTGAGGGCTGACTGCTGTAAATGTTTTCCCGTCTGTATTACTTTTGCCAGTTTTGTGTATTTCAAAGCCAAAGCTGAAAACTCTCCCTGTAAATTTTTGTCTTGGAAGTAATGTGCAGGAAAGGGAAGCCCAGTTCGGAACGACAGCAGAGATATATGCTTATCGAGAAGAGCAGGAGTTTGGAATTGAAGTAGTGAAAGTGAAAGCAATTGGACGGCAGAGGTTCAAGGTCCTTGAACTTAGAACACAGTCAGATGGGTAAGAAACTTCAAAGGTTTTAGAGGGACTGATGTGGTAATTCGCTGACCCTTGATATTTTATAGCTTCATTAGTTGTTCTCTTTGCCTTCGAAGATGAAACCCCAAAGTTTCCATCCTCAGTGTTTAGCAGAGTCAAGTGAAAACTAGAGGCTTCAGTTTCAGCCTCATCTCCTAGCCCAGAATGTGACTTAATGTAAAGTGAGGCTGTGGCATTGTTTAAAAATTATTTCTAGGTGATTGTAATATTCCTCTGGGTTTAAAAACAGTAATAAAAGCCCCACAGGAAGTACCACTTGAGGCATGGCTTCTTTGCGATTGAAAAGCTTTCTGCAGCATAGGAGAATAGAAGGCAAAAGCTGTGATCAGTGTTCGCACCAGGACAGGTGTGGTACTGGCAGCATCCCTGTACTGTTTGAAAGCTCCACTGAGTACATCTGCCAGCTACAGCACCTGAGCTATACCAGCCAGGGAGGTTTGTGGCTGTTTGCAGTGTGCATTTTCTATCCTCCCAAGATATGCTTTATATGAGGAATGAAGAAACACTTTTGTCCATGCACTGTGTGAAGTCCAAAAGTTTCCTGGGGATCCTGTTGCAGTTCACATGGTTAGCTTCCCATACAATCAGGAAATAGTGTGTTTGTTTATTCTTTTCCCATTAAATTCTGGTAATTTAACCCATTCTCCTAAAAGGAAATTAATTAGAAGCAAGCATTTCTCTTATCTGGTGTCACACCTTGATTCTGGCACACAAGAAGCACCTGTAGTGTCTTAAGGGACAGCCTCCGGGTTCTACAGAATTGAAAATTCTGTCATACCTCTTTATTTCTGATGTCATCTGAGCACCAACAAGAATGTAAGCTGCATGAGAGCAAGACTTGTTGTCTGTTATGTTACAAAAGTGTGTATGAGTTAGCATTTTGGAAAAAGTAATCTTGCAGATATTGGGGATATTGGGTGGGTTATCCTGACTTGAGGTGCTTACTTTTCTCCTGATTCTAGAACATTTCTTTGTATAAACTCAAAATCTTTATAAGTTTGTATTCCTGAGGCCCTCGGGAGACAAGTTACTGGAAAAGTGACCGAAACTTTTGTGATCTACATTTAGGACAGTGTTAAGTGAATGAGTACAAAGTGATGGGGTTCTATATTGTGGTAATTAGATGGTTGCTTTGTTAGGGTGGATTTTGCTGACACTAACAACTTTTAATTTAATTCCTCTATACTTGGTGGTACAGTCTGATTTTCTTTGAATTTTATTTTCTAGAGGTGACAAAAGAAATTGAATTGGGAGAAATTATATTTCTGTATGTGACTTTAATAAGTAGCTGTGTGAAGCTCTAAAACACAAACTGGAAGTAGTCTCTGTCAGAAAGTAGTTCAGGAAACATGGTTGCAATGAAGAGCAACATCACACTGACAGGTGGACTGGCCTTGGAAAGGAGAATTCTTCCTAGTATTCTAGAGACTTACTAGAAACTGAGGCCTCTCAAAAAAGATGTGTCTCAATTTGAAAGCCCTTTGTGAAATAAGATTTCTTTGCCTCTACTCCTACCTCCGTCCTGAACCACTGTCACTTAAAATGGGCAAGCGAAAGAAACCTTAAAGGTGGTTCAGACATCGTCTTGTTTTTGCAAATGAATAATAAGCTAAGTACCAAAGAAGTCACTTGCCCAAAGTTATAAATAAGAAGCAGCTGGTTTCATCCACAGCCTGATTCCCAAACTAGCTGTCAGCCATTATACCAAGATTTCTCCTTCGCACATTGGGAACTTAACTCTACAAAATCTGGAGTTTAAGATTCACTCTTTTGCTTTTGATTTTAGCCTAAATGGCACTTCCTACATGAAGTGCATTGTTAGCTTCTAACCTTTTCTGTTAAAGGTCTGTTTTTCAAGTACATAGGCTTTAAAAAATAATAACAACACATAGACATTTAAAAAAAATAACATAAAAAAAGGTATATTTGACTTAGTATAGGACTCTTCTGATAATCTGTTTCTTAGAAGTATACAGAAAAAGAGTTTAACATCCTGTTGAAATTCTCAGATTTCTTATCTATCATGTCTGAGATAAGTAATTTTTAGTCAAAAAAATTGTTATATATTACAAACATTTCAGCTGAAAATTATAATAGTGTAACATTTTGATTTTTGGAGAGACAAAGGTTTTCCTTGAACTGGGCTTGCAGATACATTTGGATGCAAATGCTCCTGGATATTCTTTACACACTAGGTCTTTTAACAGGAATTACACTGTGAGTGCAGAATCTTCAATTTTGCAGTTTTCCCCAAATTTCATGAAATTTTAGTAAAATCGTGTTATAATCAGAAAGTTACTCATAAACCTGTAAGGAAGAACCACTACACATGTACACACACACACCCCAGACATGTTGAACAATGATCATGAGGACTCATTTCCTCATCACCAGTTCTGAAAACTTAAATGCAGACAAAAATCTGGCATGATCTAGAGGATAATGATTCCACAATGTCTTCGACGCAATAAATTTCTGTCTAGAAACAGAGAGGAGGAGAAAGTATATATGTGTGTGTATGTATGTATGTAATGCTGTCCAAAGTACACATGTGTGTATGTTCCTTTCTTTCTCTACCTATTTTTGCTCTCTGGATATTAAATGACAAAGCAGGTGTGAGGCTCACAGCCTAGAGATTTGGGGATGGAGAGCTGTAATTTCTAAGAAATTAGATGTGTCTGGATAATCTGTAGGCTATATACTGAGTTTTTAAAATAAATTTTGCTTCATTTGTGCCTGCATATTTATCTCAAATATATAATCTCTTTTGATTATACAAGTGACGCTGACATCTCATTATCTCTTATATTAAGATTATTAAACAATTGTTTTAAGAATTTCATATATATATATACACACACACACACACACACATACATACATACACACACACACACACACACAGCATTTGGTCCATTTGTTTAAAGCAGGGAACTTGGATAAATCTTAGTATTTATCCTATATTGAGAAACTAATAGTGTATCTTAAAAATGAACAACATGCTTGGTTCTTTTTATTTTAGAATTCAGCAAGCTAAAGTGCAAATTTTGCCAGAGTGTGTGTTGCCGTCAACAATGTCTGCAGTTCAGCTAGAATCACTCAATAAGTGCCAGATATTTCCTTCAAAACCTGTCTCTTGGGAAGACCAGTATTCATGTAAATGGTGGCAGAAATACCAGAAGGTGAGATACTAATGTCTTATGTGTCTTCTAGAAGACAGGTTTCTTTTAAAAAGAGTCACAACTGTCCTGACATTTTCTAAACACTGTAGCTCACTTGATCATAGATGGATTTAAAAAATAATTCACAGGCAGTTATTTATGAAAGATAACTTGCAGTCATGATGAAATGTCAAACAATTGTAAAACACTGTTAATATTATGCTTATCACGTATGTATTAATGGCCTGTGGCTCTCAATTCCATACGAACCTTAGAAAACTCTAATCACATATTTGGCTTTTGAGTTAAATTCAGCCTTGAAGGGACAGGATTGTTTGGGCTAGCATTCAGTGGCAGTAGAAAAGAATGCTGTCCTTTGACTTTTCGGAGGATATTTTTTGTGAATTGTTTCACAGCATGCTGCTGACCAAAACAGAAATTGACTTGAGAGGGTAAGGTATTGCTTGTTTAGTACTGCAAATGTAGCTGAGAGAGTATCCCTCCATAGGGAATAGACCAAAGTCCATTCATGCACTAAGGATAAATACTGGTTCCACTGCCAGAGGCCCCGTGGACTGCCCAGGCCTCCTAACTGTCATCCCCATTTAGGGGGGCCTGGGTCAGTCTTATGTTGGTCCCCTTGCTGTCAGACTGTCCAGCAGCCCCAAACCATCCAGCACTGCAGCTGCCGCCATCAGAGCCTTGGCCCTGCACCCACCGGGAGAGGTGAGCTCCAGGCCTTCCCCTACCCCCACCCTACAGTCACTTGATGGGGCACATAGCCCCCACCCATTGAATTCCCAGAAAACCTGGGGCCAGCCCAAATCATCCAGCACTGCATGTTGTATCTTGAGAAAGGAAAAATGTTAGTCAAGTTAATTGGGAAAACTTCAAACCCATTCGGTGTAGAGATCTTGATTTCCTAACATTCATTCAGGCTTTGACACTGGTGGGTTTTGTTGTTGTTGTTGTTTGTTCGTTTTCTCTCTCTCTCTCTCTCTCTCTCTCTCTCTCTCTCTCTCTCTCTCTCTCTCTCTCTCATTTTATTTATTTATTTTTTTTAATATCATGGCCCCCTTCTAAACTCACTAGAAAGATTGGAAGAGATGGTCCAAATGGCAGACTTTTCATCCCTCTTGAAATATATTTTCTTTTGTCCAAGCTGTCAGCCTGTCCATATATAAAGCTTGCCATGTTAATTAGAAGAGTTGACTGTGAAATATAAGGAAAGCAATGTGGAAATTAGAAATCCAGTGTTTGATGTTCATCCTTCCAGCCTGTGCTAAGTAAAGAAGACATGATTGTTCCTATGCATCATGTAGAGCAGGGCAGACATGAGTACAAACTTACAAAGTCATGGTCTTTGAACATGCTCTCACAGGCTGTGTTTTAATGCCATAGAGTTTAGAAAGATACAAATCTTCATTTTTCTTGTACCATATGCAAAAGGGTATTGGCTACTGTTGCCCTTCTCTTTACTAACAGTGTCTTACAGGGCATTATATGTACTGTGCTGCTGTAGCAAGTCTAAGTTTGTAAACATTGTGAGTACCCCCTCTGGCCTTCTCACTGCTCCCTTTATAGTAAACTTTCTAAGATATGTTTCTAAGATAGGTGGAGTGAGGTATTAACACAGAAAGACTTGTAGTTGTTTTCCCCTTGCACACATACTTTGCCATTTTGTGTGGCTACCACTAGTTTATAAGGCACTAGTATAGGAAAGATCTCACCAGCTCACAGTGCTCAAGGTAAGAGGGGACTCATAAATTTGAGTGTTGTGTTTGGGCAGTTGCTTTGTAAGGACTAACAGTTCTGCTCCCTTTGGTTTGTGTGATTAATATTAAAAACACATTAAACACGTTTGTACATGGAATTTTTAGAGTCAGAATAATAATTGGAATAAAGATTTTTAGAAGTCCTTTTCTTCAGTGGGAATTGAGACCCTAGTTTGGTTATAGGTTGGTGCCATGCAAAAGGATGGCATCATTCAATGCATTCTAGTCACTGTATTAACATGTCATTTAGCTTGTTTATGATTATGTAAATGATTTGATGTCTGTATGTCAAAAGTATACTTTTTCAGTGCCCTTTATTAATGTCTTCATTGTTCTAGAAGTGATCATCTTAATGTGCAAAATATGTTTGCTTCTTAGCCAGACATGTGCAGCAACATAACCTGAAACTTTCTATATAATTTTTATAATTTAAAGAATTTCTAATTTTAGAGAGAGATTTCTTCCCCAAAGCATAAACTTTGTGGCCTGTGATTTGCTCTACTTTTTTGTTGTTTGTGTTAGCCATCTGTAATATTCCAAACACAGCACATTGTACACATAATTAGGATAAGGCCCGCTCTGTGCAGATCCTGGCTACTTCCCACTACCAAATCCATGGCCTCCTATGCCTGCCTTTTCTTACCTTTGAAATGGAGATACTTTCAGTAGCCATGCAGTGTCCTAATAGATGATAAAATTCTTGCTATAGTGTTAATGGTTTTCATGGTGATTCATGGATAGTCAGTCATCTGCTCTTATTGTTAACACATCTTTTAAAGTCTGTAATTGAATCATGACAGTAACCCTTGACATAAGGTATATGGTCTTAGACATAAAGGATAACTTACAGAAGAGGACTTAAGTCTTTTGCTCTGGCCTATTAGGCTGATTCCTGAGCTAAGCATGAATAGGAAACCATTCCAGACTGTTTTTAGGTAGCCTGAAATAGGAAGTTTGTGCCAGGCTACATTTTTTTTTTTTTTTCCTTTCAAGTATCCACTAGTTTGAAGTGTATCCCATGGGTACTTCAGGAGATCTATCTCTTCCATGTGATAGAGATTCCTAATACTGGCAAACAGTCATTTCCTCTTGAAATACACCTCTAAAAACTAATTCAAGAATTTTTCTTTGACAAGATTACAGAAGAAAATACCTTATATAGTCTATAAAAATGTTTGTTCAACAGTAATAACCTAGGTCTTCTCATCCATTCCCTACCACTGAACCACCCAAACAGTGAACAGTTCTACAGAATCCAACTGTGTCAAGTGCTCCATATTGGCATTACACTTCTTATTCTATACTTGTTACAGCTTAGTTTGTGATACACAGGTACTCACTGTGTTTTAGTTGCCTACCATACTTAGTACAGCAATATGGTATGTGAGCTTGTAGTCTAGAAGCAGTAGACTGTACCATGTAGTTTAGCTGTATAGTTAAACCACCTGGTCTGTGTTGAGTGCCATTCATCACCAGCATCTCTCAGAATGCACTTACCATTAAGGTAAGAATACCATTGCACTAATCACCTACTGTAAGATTGTGAATACATTTCAGATAATCTATTGGCAATTGTCTTTTAAAATTAGAAAATGTTTTTGTAGAACTAATCATTTTTAGATATTACTACTTATAGTATTTGAGTTTTTCCTTGAGTTTTCTTAAGACACATTTTTTATTTCAGAGGAAGTTTCACTGTGCAAATCTGACTTCATGGCCTCGTTGGCTGTATTCATTATATGATGCTGTAAGTAACTTGCCAGAAACTTGTCTTTCATTAGAATTTTCATAGTTCTGACTATATCTTAGCTAAATAAGATGACACATTTGCTATTACTGAAATTATGAAGGGTCATGTGAAAGTCACTCTGTAAAGAATTCTTACATCACAAAATTGTTTTCCAAACAAGTATATTCGTATGTATTGCTACATCAGTAGTATATTAACTGATGCGTCTACACAGACTTCTGGTGTTGTTAAAAATATGCACTGTTACTGCTAACAAAATCACTAAGACAGAATACTTGAAGTATTTGGAATACAGTAACTGCCTTCAAAGCCCAATTTCTATCAGATACTGTGTGGTTTGAGAAAATTAGGTATAATAGTAGCTATTGCACATATAATAAACATTTAAATAAATGTTAGTTGTATTTCTTAGTGAATCCCTGCCAAGAAATCTAAAGAACTGGAAAAATAAAACAAGTAATTTGAGCATTTATGATGTATGTACCACTAAAAGAAAACACAGTTGACCTCAGCCCTTTTGCAGATCTTGAGCCTTACAAAGGTACAGATGCACTCTTGGAAAATGTTAATGCCTGGAAAAAAGACAGCACTTTTCTGTAGAAACTAGTTGCTAAGTGAGGTGTGTAGACAGCAAATGCAGGGGCACACCACCATTTGCACTGAGACACAGAAAAGTCAGAAGAGGCCAGTTCAAGCAGCAGCCTAGAAGAGCATCCTAAAAGAGCATCAAGACACATTTAGATTCACATACTTCTTGGGATAGACAGCCTAAGGGGCGAGATGCCTGGGAAGTTGGCCTGCTTGCTAGTCACAGGAGTTAGTTAACCAGTTCCACCTTTAAAAACTAGGCATACCTGGTCTCAGATTAGTTCCAATACATGATTTTTAAAGGGGCTAACACTTATTGTGGCTACTTTTATTTTAAACCAGGAAACATTAATGGATAGAATAAAGAAACAGTTACGTGAATGGGATGAAAATCTCAAAGATGATTCTCTTCCTGCAAATCCAATAGGTATGGCAAATACTGCAAGCTGTGGCATGTTAGTGGGGGGGGGAGCCTTTAATATTAAATTTGTTTACACTAACCTTTGAATTTTGAAAAGGTATTTGCATCTCTTTGCTTGAAAAATCTTTTTTCCAAGAAATTAGTATTCAAAGCAACAGAATCTTCATATTTTGTTAAAGTGGCTAACTTCCTGTTCTTTAGAGCCTTTACAAGTGAATCTGCTCCAGAACTTAGCTTTATATATTATCTCTATATTTGTAAGTCAGTTTCATCCAAGTATATGCTTGACTTAAGGAAGGTAACTGAAATATAAATGTAATTAATGTTTCCTAAGTTTAAAGCCTGCAAACCTCACCCTGTCTTTTAAGACTTTTCTTACAGAGTAGCTGCTTGTCTTCCTATTGATGATGTGCTGAGAATTCAACTCCTTAAAATTGGTAGTGCTATTCAACGACTTCGCTGTGAATTAGATATCATGAATAAAGTAAGTAAAGACCACATGTCTGTTGTGTAGATTTAGATTGTCAGTCGGGCTAGAGTTCACACTGTTGAGATCAGGAGTTACCTCTATTGTATAGTAATATAGTCATAATCTGGAGAAGTACGTGTTTATCTGTTCTGGTTTAGTTAAAAAGCTTCTCTCTAGTCTGAAGTGCTCTGTAATTTAAACCATTCCAAAATTTTGGGGATTAGGAATGTTTGATCAGTAAAGTCATGTATGTATGTGTATATATACACACACAGTTGATACACCTTTGAATAATGTATATTTGAAATTATTTTAACAGTCCTTAAATATTAGTCCTAGGCTTCTTCCTAAGTAAGTTTATTCTTGATTTGGGTAACAAGACTATTTATCCATTTAAACATTTTAGTGTACTTCCCTTTGCTGTAAGCAATGTCAAGAAACAGAAATAACAACAAAGAATGAAATATTTAGGTAAGATTTTTATTATATTTTTAGTATACCTCTCAATACATTTCCAACTTTCCTTTCAGAATTTCTCCTCCAGTGTCTATAAATTACACTCAAGAAAAATAAACATAGGGAATTGATTCATTTTGGGGTAAGACTGTCTCCTAGGCTAGAAATATCCACAATGCCTCAATTTTTGTGTAAAGTCTGAGATATTCTTTTAGCTAGTTAGGCCACACAGGATCAAACTAGGACATGTGCTAATGCTGTGATACAGTAGTTTAACACTATGATAAATTCATTAGGATTATAAAACAAGGCAGTAAATCAAGAAAAAGTAAACTGATGTCTGAACTGTCCAAAGATGAGGAAACATGACATTTTCAACAATAGTGTGTTTTCCCTTTGAATCATCAAAGAAAATTTTCAAGCAAAAATAGAGCATCTGTGGGTGGTTAGGGGGTGCATGCCTTTAATCCCAGAAGTTAGGAGACCGAGGCAGGCAGTTCCAGGACAGACTCCAAAGCAATGCAGAGAGAAACCCTGTCTCACAAAAAAAAAAAAAAAAAATCTGCCAGCCTCCTGTACGTATTTGACACAAAATTCAAACATAAATATACATCAAAAAAGGAAAAATTGGAATTACTGTTCTTATTCTCCATGTTGCTTCTTTGTTCCAGTTTATCCTTGTGTGGTCCAATGGCAGCATATGTGAATCCTCATGGATATGTACATGAGACACTGACTGTGTATAAAGCTTCCAACCTGAATCTGATAGGTCGGCCTTCTACAGTACACAGCTGGTTTCCTGGGTAATATGGTTGTGTTCACTGTCTTTTGTTGGCTCTTCGTTTAGTCTTAAGTGAAGCTTCTAGAAATGATACAAGACAAACAGGACAGGAATAGTTTTTAGTTTTAACTAATCTTCATTTCATCAATAGGTAGGAATGAATGGGGGGAGTGTCATGCATGTTAGAGCAAAACCTGAAATATTTGTCAGCTCATTATAAAATTTTATGATATACAAAGTAATTAAAACTATTGATTGATCCACTGATGTGTAGATCAGATATCTTAAGCAGGGACATAACGAGATGGGAAAAACAGTAAACCTTGCTGTATCTAGCCTGCTTTATTCTGGGCCACCCTTTTACTTTTAAAGTGGCAAAGGAATTAGGAATTAGTAGATTTTACTTGCTATAATAAAATGTGTTACTATACATACTAAATACAGACTATTTCACCCAAGGAAAATGGTAACTTGAGAACAGAAGTTTGTTTTTGAGGAGTTCATACTCTCCTTCCTCTAACAATAATACAGTAGAAAACAGTGAGGTAAATAAATTAAGGCTGGAGCAATGTGGCAAACAGCAATATAAAGAAGCTTGTAGTAATAAAATTATCAAATCATAAATATCAATACAGTATCAAATTATGACAGTTTTTGTAAATGTATGAGGTTTCCGAGAAACTGCAGCATAACAAGCCTAAATCAAAGGTAAACAATGGATTTCCTTACCTTGTTTTTCCCTTCCTTTTTATAGGTATGCATGGACCATTGCCCAGTGTAAGATTTGTGCAAGCCATATTGGATGGAAATTTACAGCCACCAAAAAAGACATGTCACCTCAAAAATTTTGGGGGCTTAACTCGCTCTGCTCTGTTACCCACAATTCCAGAAACTGAAGATGAAATAAGTCCAGACAAAGTAATATTATGTTTGTAAGTTCATTCATTGTAGGGATGACTTCCTAACAAAGTGTATTCTCAAGTCAGATCTGCCCCAGACACTATTGCCTCTGATGTATGTGTATAGTGGTCACAGCATTTGACTACCTTGTTCAGAGGATGAAAAAGCATCACAAAACACACAGTTGGGTTCAGAACTATCTGCTTTAGTAACTTGGTGCCATTCATTATCCTGTTGAATGCGTGTCATTGAGGGTTAGAAAACACGTTTGAGGTGATGACAATGGCTGTGGGGATAAGGGCACCACTGCTCTAAATGATTAATATTCCAGAAGCTAGGTTGGCAAGCACAAGACAGGCAAGGCAGTGTATATTATTTTGAAAAGAACAAAGTCCTTTTAATTTTCTTTAGCTTGTCTAAGATACTGATTTGTAAATTTTGAAAATATTAAAGAGTAAAATAAGCAGTTTGAACAGAAAAAATAGCATTTTGTGTATTTGCACTATTTATTTGTAAGACTCCTTTAAATAGTATATGTGCATTTTGCACTTTAAGTTAACAGTATATATATTTCTGGGATTATAGCCTTTAGCATATAAAAGTTAAAGTAATTGAAGGGCATCTTTAAATAAAACTGACCAAAACTAATACCTATGTCCAAACCTACACTATTTAGTTTAATTATGTAAAAGTCAAAGTAATCAAGTAAAGTTTAAAGAGAAGTACAGTAATAAAATGCAATTTCCTCAGTGTCATTTTTTAAGTTGCACTTCTATTTCAATTTCATTCAAGCTGAATGAAGTGAGGCAATTCTGCTTTACTTCTGCAATGTAATATGATCCACCTACTGTTTACCATTACTTGCAGATAGTACTGCTTAGGAAGTTTACACAGCTTTGCTATCATTCCATCTGTATACTTCCTGAATGAGTATGCAGTAGAGTGACAACAGCAGGAATTCCATGGTGTAAAATTCAGGTATTTACTAACCTGTGTAAAGTAGTGTTTGTGGCTCCCCTTTTTATAACATCGTATTAAACTTCCTCTTATTTGAGCTTCATCACAAGTGATTTTACCAAACTCCAAAAGCTACTATTTGTTTATACAGTGTCTATGAAAGGAAGTCAGTTATAAAATATCAAACTCTAAGCCATATCCATCTAATTCGTAAAGTAAACATCTGTGTCCACTATCGGTGGCACTGACAAAAAGCCAGTAGTCTCAAGGCCAACTCTTCAGTTATTCCTGTAACATTTTAAGCTTTGCACACCAAGGAATTCACAAAGTCCTATATAAATGAATGGTATTGTGGGCCAATTAACTTTAAAATTCAGCAGACACAACATAAACTAGGTAGTTATTTTTAGCATACACAAGTGTTCTCCAACAGTTACCATATCCCAGTGTAAAGAAACAACAGCTACACTTTTCTCACTAGCTTGGAAAATTCAGAGTTAAACCTGAATTAAGAGGATGTAGACTTGCTTAATTTTTCTATACTTTATATTGAGTTTACTCTTGCTGTTTCAGAAGGAAAGAAAACCAGTCTTACCAAGACTTTCCATTGTTCTGTATGGAGCTCATTTTAAGTCTTCTTTATGTAACTTAAAAGTTCATCTTTTTCCATTTGGTAACCGCTTTTCTTCCATTGTTCACGCAACTGCTGTAACAGGGCCCCAATTTCCTTCCCTGAAGAAATGCCCACTTTCCTGATGTCATGTCCACTCACAGGGAATGGTGGGACAGACCACTGCTGCATCTCCTTGAGAAGACCATGCTCTCCTTGGTACTTCAGCAGCTCACACACACGGGCAATTGCATCCGGTTCCCTTGACTAAGTGACACAGTTTTTTACATATTAAACACTATTTCATTCTACTACTTAAAATACTTACAGAAAGTCTACAGTTTGAAAAAATTATTTAGGCGTTTAGTGAACTATTTTTCTGACCAAACCTAATACATACTTACATCTATAACGAAGTCTTGATATGGCCTCAATGGTTCTGAACTATCTGTTGCTTTAATCAAATCTTTCCTGTTTTTAACTATAAATAAACCCAAGTTTTTCTCTTCTTTAGAAATTTTCAATCTCAAATCCAGTTTTGTGACATCATCTTGTACTTTAAATAAAGAGGCCAAAAGAGTCATTGGTTTTGGTGAAAAGCCTTCAACATTTTTACTGACTTTGTTAAATTCTTCTAAATTTGCATTAGGAGGTAAACCTGTATGGCCAAAAAAAAAAAAAAAAAAAAAAGTCATTGTATTTAGTTATTAAACCTGCACTTGTCTGTCATACCATGATACCATGCACTTTTAAAGAGTATATCTTCTTTGTCTACTGCTTAGTATCAGCCCATCTGCCGCTCTCTTAACTCCCAGGAAACCCTATCGTGTTCTTGTTTCCCAGAGCAAGATGTAGCAGGAGGTTCAGAAGCTGTGGTTATGTCAAGTGCACAGTAGATGCCTTCTCAGTCAAATTCCTGTCTGCATCCATTCCCTATTCTGTAATTCATTCCCTATTCTGTAATTGTGTGTACCTGTTTGGAATATATTAGCTATAATTACTGTATTAAATATTCTTGTAGGACCACTAGCTAGGTCCAACTGCTGTTAGTCTCAACCCTTTTGATGATAAACCAAGCCAACCTGCAAAGCCAGTAAGTGGCATAGCTTCACAAAATCCAAGTGTTCACTATGAACTACTCTTTACCACAAACTTTCCTAATCCTTAATCCCATGGTTTCTCTTAGAATTTCCATTTGCCCACATATAATTCCTTAGCTATGTAACACAAAACATTTTACCTCATGTACTTTAAACTAGGTATTTTGTTGCTAGAACTCCATAGATAATTGTATAATCTATTCTCACCTATGTGAGGAGCCACATCAAGATCATAGATCAGGTGGATCAAATGGTTTACATGGTCACCAGTAAGAATTTTCTTCAGCTCTACCCAAATCCTCTCCCGGATATTCCAGCCAAGCCTTTGGCATTTTCTGCAATTGCTTCTAGTGTCTCATGGTCTATGGTCACCAGGTTTGTCGACAATTCTGCCATAAAACCTGTAAAACATTTGACATGACTCTTTTTCTCAAGATTAAAAAAAATAATTATTATTAAAAAGGAAAAAAGAACCTTACAAGCTAAGACTCTTGAGTTTTGTTACTTCCATATAGGCATGTCTCATCACATAAAATATTTTTTCCATTTTTAATAGGGGTTATCTGGTATACATCTAGGTGATGGATGTGATGGATCAACAAAATTATAATTTAAAAGTCTTGCTGTTTGGGTTGTTTTTAACAGACTGTTTGCATATACTTGTTTAGAAGATTTGGATTTATTGACAAATATTCATGCTCTGCTACACAGTGTTCTGAGTGGTCCCAAATGTGAACAATGAATGTTACTAGATGTATACTAGCCAAGTAGGTTTTGGGTTTTTTTTTTTTTTTTTAAGGTTAGAATTTGGATTTTTTTTTAATCACTGATAAGAAACTATCAAGATATAATCTACATAATGTAAACATCAGATGAGGTATTAGAGCATTAGATTATAGAAGGAATTCAAAATAACAACTGCAAAATGTATAAATGGTCAAAAAGTGTATGAACCATGTCTAGTATCACTAGTCACCAGGGAAATGCACAAGAATCACTCCCAACAAGAATGGCTATTATCAAAGGTACTAGTGCTAAAGAAGCAGAAATATACTTGTACATGCACTGTAGAAATGGGGAGACTCCTCTGAAGACTAGAAAGAGGAGGTCAGGTTAGTATCAGGAGATGATCCTGGCTCTCCAGTGTTCACTGTGGCTCACTTTTGAAAAGAAACTATTGACCAGGTGTCAGAAAGTGTAGCACACTGAGAATGTGGTACAGTAGCCTCAAACTTGTGGTTAGCCGAGGCTGGACTTGAACTCAAGACCTTCCTGCCTTATGCTCCCTGAATGTTATGACTACAGGCATATGCTACCACTCTTGATGCAATATCCTGTCAATTATAGCAATAGACAAAGCTAGAGATGACTGTTAAATAATCTAGACACAAGAAACTAGAAATGCATAATCTCACATGTAGCCAAAAAAAAGGGGGGGAGTGGATTTAAGTTGAGGATCTTCAGTGGGCACTAATTTACAGGTACACAAACAAGGTGACATTCTCATTTCTGCTGAATAGTAACAAAGATAAGCAAAAGCTTGAAGGAGATTGAATGTTTTATCATAAACATGGTACATGTCTAAGGACAGATAGGGGCTTTACCTTAAATTACAATGCATCACAATATTACATACACAAGTGAAGCAGTTAAAAAGTATGTCTACAAAAATTAAAATCACTGGTACCCTCAAATGCTATCCATGCATTTTCACACGTCCCTTTGAAGTGTGTACATTTATACTGACTTGTTTTACCACTCATTTAACAGTATTTTCCTTCTGTCAGTGTCATTTTGTGGTGAGGCATCAGATCAGATATGTTGTAGAGCATCTCAGACTCTTGAGCTCTATGAAGGCAGCAGACACTTTAAATCATCCTTCACTGTGATCAGAACACCTAACACAGTGCATAGGAAGGACTCAAACCACAGGATCAATGGAAGGAAATACATTAATAATTTAAAGCTTTTATATAGAACACAGCACAAAGAACGGTTTAATTATGCATATTTTCAAAGTCAAAGCCGAAGGGTGCTACCTCATCGCTGAAGACAGGTAACTGGGAGCTTCTTTCATATTCCTGCTGATACATTCCACACAAGATAGGATAGTGCTTAAGGGAGAAAAAAAAACATCAGAAATTTTCTATTGCTAAAATTTATAAACTCTTACCTGAAATACCTTAAAATCCAAGATAATCTTCTTGAATTCTCTGCTTAGCATGTCCAACAAATCGAACTTTTTTTATTTTTTAAATCTGCATATCCATTAAAATAATCAAACAAGGTACCATCAAACCTATTCATTAGAAAAGAGGTAAGAAATCATTAGCAAGGGTTTAGTGGGAAGGAAAAAAAAAATCATCTGAAAACTACCATGCACAGTAAAACTTCAGTAAGGTTAAGAATTAAAAATGAACAAAATCAATTTACACTTGTATAAAGTGGGAATGAGGGAAGATACCACACAAGCTGATTTAAATATAGAACATCAACAGTAATAGAAATCTTCTAAACATACTCCAGAAGACCCCACCTCAAAGGAATAAATAATAAGTGGAAGGTAATAGAGAACACTCAATACCTTTTTCCAGTCTCTGTGTACATGAATACGTGGGCATACACACATTTATTTATACTAAGACATAATAAATCTTAAACAAAAGCCCAGTAACAGACACAGTAGACCAAAACAACCTGAAAATACAAATATGCTTATTGGCAAGAAAAAAAAGAAAGAAAGAAAGCTTAAATAATTTGGGAAAAGATGTCAGTACCAAAAGAAACTAATGATGCATTTCCCTTATATGCAAAAGCTGTTTTGAAATAAATAGACCCAAGATGGCAAAATACCTACTACCTCAACATTCACGACACTGAGGGAAGGGTTTCTAAGATGGCCTGAACACATACTCAAAATTGAAAAACAAAAAAATCATACAAAATAAAATCCAGAAGTCTTAAAAAATAACATTTCAACCTTAGTCACAAGTTTCTGAAAGCCTGTTCAGATTTCTCTCAGACTGGGTAATATCTGTCTGATAACAGGCTTTGACAAAGTAGACACTCTGGTTCAACACTGAGCTGAAGATGCAATCCCACACACAGAGAAAGAGGCAGAGAGAGAGACAGAGAGAGAGACAGAGAAGTAGAGACTGTAACGAGACCCACTGACACCTCTATCATTAAAAAGTGGGGAAGAAGGTTGGTCAAACTACTTTTACTACCTTAGAAACAGTATTAAAGTGAACCACTCATCTTGATTCCCCCTCTCCAGGGGAAAATCTCAAACCCACATAGATAGCAATTTACCACAAGAACTAAAAAAAAATGAAAGCATTTATTCAATTAACTAAGAATGTTGGCCAGTGGCCCTGTGAGATATTCCACTCTGTGCCATCAGGAACAAGAGAAAGTAATACCAGCTTTGGAAAATGACTATCTGTCGATTTGGATGTTTCACATTAAATACTGTTTGGTTATTCTAAAAGAAACAATACTGGCAAGCTAAAACTTAAGTCTTTAAGTGTTTCCAAGCTGTTCTGGATCTATACATAAGCCAACTCCTGTACCAGAAGAATCTTGATTTACGGGACAGTTTCAAAAAGCTCCATAGGAAAACAAAGCAAAAACAGAAAAAAATAAAAATGTTAGGCAAGCAAATTAAGACTAACAGTATATCTTTAAGATCCTGTTCTAATACAAGACTGGTAGGATGGCTAACTCTTCCCAGCTACCATGTGCAAGCCCCTCATTTCCAGATCTAGTATTGCAAAAACAAAGGGGGAGGAGTGATACCTTTGGAAACAAAATAACCACCTATTATCCATACTATTAAAGCTTGAACCAGTGAGATTTGAAAGCCTGAAGCTACATATTAGGCATGTTACCATGAGTTAAATAGCTTCATAGAGTTGTTAGCAGATTAAATTTATAATGTGCTTATAGCTGTATTGGGCACATGGTAAGGCTCAGCAAACTTGGCAAAATAGCACCAAGAATAGCTTTGTTTTATGTGAAATACGACTTTTAAAAACTTGTGTTTTCTGTTTTAGTGAATTAAACTGAAAATATTCCTGTTGGACAAGACTGTTAAACTAGTTGGAGTAGTGTAAGTTTGAATTAAGTAAAAAGAAACTAACATATATATATATATTATATAATGTTATATGTGTTATATAGCATTCATTATCTGGGCTACTTAGTGACATAATTTCTAGGCTTTGGAAGCTCCCACCATCACTAACCTGAACTACATACAGCACTTAGCATTCTGCAGTTTTATATATCCTTCTTGCCTAAACTTACTTTCTCAGCCCATGAAACAATAATCAGTGAAATTTAAACTATAAAAATTGGTAGAGCGGATAACTCAAGTGCTGACTGTTTCTCCTCACTTAATATCACAGGAGATTAAGATGACAGGTGTTTCATTATCTATGGCAATTCTATTGCTGCTTCCCTTCCTAAGATTGGATGCTAACAAAGATTTTGAGGGTTTTATGTAGAGTCAGTAATAAAGATGTGGTAGTTATTTAACATTCTATACAACATTGAGTGGACACATGTATAAAACACAGTACAGAGAGTGAGTGATATATGGGGGGCGGGCGGGGGGGGTGTTACACAATTTTCCTTGCACTGTTTAGGTACAGTGAGTTAACAGACTGAACGTGCAAATGTGTCAGGCACTACTGTTAAGCAGTGACAGTTGTTTACTCCCTCTTTAATCTTCACTATAGTAGAACAAAGGAAATTTGGCAGAAATATTCCAGTTTGGAAGCTTGGCATGAGTAACACAGAATCTGAGCCCAAAGATGTTGGCTTCAGCCAGCAGGATATACTGGTTTTAAGTTAGTACAACTTCGGGTTGGCTAACATTCCCAAGCACAAAGTTTTCCAAGGAAAGGGAAACACTAACAGACTGAATTCAAAGCTGTCTTGTCTTCTCAAGAGATTACCTAGGAACATAGAGTTTATGGTGAGGTCTCTGCGTTCAGCATCCTTCTGCCAGTCAGTTGTGAATTCTACCTCAGCATGTCTTCCATCAGTGGTGACATCAATCCGGAGTGTGGTAACTTCAAAATTTTCTTCATGAAGCTGCAATTAAACACAAGTTTATTGTTTTAAATGTTAGCATACATGAGTGCCACAGCCCACAAACACAAGTCTGTTGTCTCCTTCCACTATGGGGATTTTATGGACTAAATTCAAGTTGTCAGGTTGGGCAGCAGATGTCTTTATGTACTGAGTCCCACAAAATTTTTGCTTTCTTTTTTAATTACTTTTTAGTATCACCAAGTATTCTAAAAAATTATCTTTATAATGTATGGTGCTGGGATACCTGCCAATTACTTTCATGTCTTTTAAAGTCTATTAGTTTATACATTTAGCTTTCTATAGAAACATAAAATTTAAAAAAATCCAATGAATAGTTTCTTAAAACATCCACTGTGGTAAGATCAGTTTCAGAGACAAACTTCCAACTATGAGAAGTAGGGTGGTAAGGCACTCAATGCATCAGACTCCAGTTACTCCATTTCAGAGCAAGCTAGTCTCTGAAACATTATTTAACAGCTCCAGTCTGCAGAGAAGCAAAGAGCAGTTTCTGGAACATATACCACTGAGCAGCAGCAGCTGCTGAAAGAAGTCCTGTGTACCCTAGAAAGAGACTCCAGCTGCAAAGGCCTGTAACACGATGTGAATGATCGGGACATGGGATGTGGGAAAGCCCATTTCAAATACAAAGCCCACTGGATCATGATCGACGGTGCAGCAACAAATGGTGTATTAGCAATAGTCAAGCACAGAGATTTTCAATCAACAGACTTTGGGACCTTCTCATTACAAAGTTTATGTTAGCATTCCTCAGTTTCACATACTTTTCCAGATACAAAGCTGTGCCTACAGTCCCACTGCAAACTAAGGCTCTTGAGATACAATTATAGATTAAAGGAAAAGGACTTGAAGTAGGAAAACTGAAATTATTATCAGAAACAATATACTTTCCCCTTGCTATACAAAACCAGGATGGACCAAAAATAATCAAAATTTGGGGCACCAGGAACTGCTGATAGTAGAAAGAGACACAATGAAAACAGGATTATGGAAATAACAAAACTTGTCTTCCCCCCCCCCATTTCATTTTCAAAATATACAACTGAGCTTATGAATGGCACAACTCTGTTGACTTCTGATCTCTAATGAAAACTCTTAACAGCATTAGGAGCACTAGCTCACACTTTCATAGACTATCAACCAAGGTCATCACTTTGCTGAAGACTGGAAGGATGGGTAAACAACTTTTTGACATCATAACATGATATTGCCATCTACAAGCGGGATGGACTGCATTCATAACGGTCTGGGGACACATGTGTCCAAAGGGCCCTGCTGGCCAGGCCCATTACAAGCATCATCCAAATATAATGACAGCCAAAGAATATGTACATTTAAGGAAAACCATTAAGACAAACAGAAAATGCTTAAACACTGTGTCAAAACAATTATAACTAATAGCCTATGGAAAAATAATATTTTTAGTCTGAAACAAGAACTGAACACTAAAAGAAATAAGGTCTTGTGTCATAGAAGGAAACTTTTAACAAAGGGCCTTGGTGTATCATATTATATACATATTATAGTATTGGTGGCAAAAGCTTAACATGCAGTATTGTACAGTACAAACTTTACTAATGATAATGAACAACTATGTTGCCAGTTTCTGTGTTTACCGCACTACATTTAGTTACTTTAATGTATGTCACATGTCATTCATTTAACAAAGGAGGTATGTTCTAAGAAATTTGTTGCTAGGCAATTTCATTAAAAATTTGTTTTTAAACTTTTACAATAACATTTGAAATGTAAGATATAGCTATAAAAATAGTTCATGTCCTGTTGCAAATCATACACCCTTTTTAAAGAACATTGTGTGAACAAGACACAAATTAATTTAATTCTATAGGAAAGGGTCAAGTGAGGACCATCAGTATCACTGCTGTCCACCCCAAATCTTGGCACACTAGCAAGTTCAGAGTAACACAGACAGAACTGGTCTCCCCCATGACTAGTATCTGGTGGGATACGTCCAGAAAGACCTGCCTGATCTGGTAAAATAATACTCAAAACACAGTTCTAAATAACGTAATTATAAACTCAGAACCAGAATTTACTAAGTACTATGGTATTAATAATACCCTGGAATGATGGAGAAAGGGGGAGTTATATGGACTTGTTGTGGAGAAGTGTGGCAAGAAAGCTGAATCACAGAAATGAAGAGCATCTTTAAACCTGCAAATTTAAAACAAAATCTACAACAGAGGGCTTACTTGGTTTTATCTCAGAAACTGTAAAAGTGAGGTGAGTATCAAAGTTATATAAGTAGTTCCAATGGAGGAGTATGTGAGGTTTCAGAGGGTAGGAGGCACAGACATTTGCAGAGCTTTCTTTCACTCACCCTGGCAGTGATCGTCCCATGCTTCTCTCCTTTGTTGTTTATCATGCGCACGCCAGCTGACTGGAACATCTCCTTCATCTGAGTAGGAGGGCAGTGGTGGCGAAATCCACATCTTGAGGCTTCACCCCATTTAGTAAATCCCTTACTGCTCCTCCTGCTATTCTTAATTCATGATTCTCTTTGGCAAATAATTCTGATGGAAGAAGGTTTTGTTTTTGTTTTAGCATACGTGATTAAAGATTAAAACCCCTCATAAGCACAAGGTCCTGTCATCTATTACAGATAGTAGATGTCAATGAACTGAGCAGAGCTATATGAGAATGAAAACAATAGCTAGGCAGTGGTATGTATGCCTTTAATTCCAGCACACAGGGAGATCTCTGTGAGTTTGAGCCAGCCTGGTCTACAGTCTATAGATCAAGTTCAGGACAGCCAGAGCTACACAGAGAAACCTTGTCTCCAAAAAAGAAAAAAAAAAAAAAAAAAGTCTAAAATGGTTCTCCCACAGTAGACTGCCTCTAAAAACAGAGAACTTTTTGACTTTTTTGAGAGTTTCTTTTAATCCAGCAGATGGTTCACAATTCCAAGATGCCTTAAGGTTATCATTGTAAGCATGGAATTTCAACAGGAAAGCAAGCAATAAACAATTCTGCTTGCTTCTCTATGGTATATGTGTATACTTTAGAATGGGAATTTTTATATTTCTTTGGGACAAATGTAGAGACAAATGTATGAACCTATGATAAATTATGATAAATATTATAACCAAAAACTTTTAAAAACAAAACTGCATATATTGTTTGAAACCAATTTGAATTTGTGCTATACAAAGTATAAACACTATGCAAAGCATGCCTTACACACAGTTCATGATCAGCCCCACTTTCCAATCGGTTTTAGTCAGTGTTCTCTAGCTACAAATTAAGATAATCTAGCAAGCAACTAGCTTCTATCAATCCAAAAGCAAGAATGCCAGCAGACAGCAATTTAGCTCAATTCATTACACCTACCTCTCTGATGTACCACACCAGTGTATTTACAACTTTCTGTTCTAAAAACCAATGAAACTATTTTCATGTTGGAACATGGATTTGAGGTAACCTAAATCCATCTTCCCAGGCTCTGGACATTCAAATGGCTCCTCTTTTTTTTCAAGTTCCTAACCAAAGCATAACGTCTTTCTGAAAACATACAATCCTCTTCAGGTCCCACTCCCCAAATTCTCTCCAAAACAAACTAATCCAGGCCCCAATACTGTAAAGTCAGTTCCAAAGCCCTCTGTTGCAAGGCGATGGGGCTCTATTGGTAGTATTCTTCTACTGCAAGGGAGTAGTTTGTTTGGCATGTCCTTGGGGATCGTGCATCTGGCTAAAACCTGTCCCTAATCACAACTCAACTTGCTTTGCAATCCTCAACTTGTTTTTCTCCCATACTCTTCTTCCACCCACTCTTTTCAAACTGATCAACCTCACTTTGTAGATTTTCTAAAATGGCCTGACCAAACAATCTGCCTTAAATAAACATGGGCTCTTGAATAAGATACCACTTCCATAAGCCCTCTCCAATAAGGGTCCAGGCTTCCCTTAATTTCCAATCAAGTTTCCCAACCAACCAAACCCCCCGTTAAGGGTCTTTAAAAATGTAAAATTCATGTTCACAACTTTAATACTAATGGAGATGTTCATGTACCAAACAACTGACAAACTGTCCAAACTGGGATCTACTGCCTTTAACACCTAAACCAGGCCTCTAAACTCTGTGCATATTTTGACACAGGGCTATTGAGTGTCTTCATCTACCTCCTTGCTCTAGTGCCAAGCCTCTGGTCCCTGAAAATCCAGCCTCTATAGCTGGATTACTCAAAATCAACAGAGTAAATTATACTAGGCAATTTCTCCCTCCTACAGATTTGCAATGCAATGTCCAAATTTTACAGCACAATACACAAAGGCTCCCATATCTAACTTCTGTCGCATCTCTCTCAATCTTTGACTCACACTTTACCTACATCAATCTCCCCCCTGAAGCTTACTTCCAACTTTGTTTGCATTGAGCACTTCACTCCAAACACCTTTCCACCTTGTTCAATCCAGTTCAATGGCCACTGGGCAAACTTCTTGTCCAGTAACATCAACTAAGAAAGACACTACTTATGCAGTGAGACAGGCTTAAAGGGTGTGACTGCTGGTAAGCTGAGCTGACTGTGCTCTACACCTATATGGGAATATATGGGCAGCACAAATTGGAGTTGATGGGTTATTAAAAAGAGAAAAGAAAAAAAGGACAGAAGTCAGGGAAGGAGGAAGGTGAGGGAAGGAACCAAAGGCGTTAGGGTGATTATGATCAAATTGTAAGACATTCTGAAAGGATTAAAGTATCTTTTTAAAAAGATATTCAAGAAACTATATTACTTAACATTTTAAATACTGATTCTGCAAGGGGAGAGCAACAGAGAATGGGAAAGCTATGGGCTGGGAGAGCATATGAAAAAACAAACAGGTTCAATCGATCCAAATTAGAGCTGTTAGGTCTGCAGTGCTCAAGTAGCAGCTGATAGCCATTATGGTTACTGAGCACTTGAAATGTGGAATCTGAACAGAGACTTGCTGTATGTGTTAGACATATCCCACATTTCACAAAAATCATATTTCCCTTGAGATCTATTAATTTTACCCATTTCTTCTTAGTTTTATAATGTAACTAGAAGATTATCGCAAACAGCAAATTTCTAGCATTTTTCACTCTGGAAAATCTGTGAAAAGAGCATCATAAACTTGCACCTAAACCCTCTTCCTCACCAAAGAACCTAAAAGGATGTTCTCCTTGGAAGATACTTAAATCCCATTATCTCATGTGAAGAAAACAAAAGTAGTCTTGTGAATAGCATAATTTTAAAGGACTGGCTCCCCCAGTTTGTTCAACAGGAATTAGTCTACAGGGTTAAAAAACAAAATCAAACAGGTGTTCATCCTTCCAAGAGTCAGTGGAATATAGAACAGAATCCCAGCTTTCACGTTTCAAAAGTACCTCAAGGACCTGTGAGATAGATGTCTGGTGGGTAAGAGCACTCGCACCAAGCCTGATATCCTGAGTGCATTCCTGGCACATATGGTGGAGACTACTGACTTCTCTAAGTAGTCTCCTGATGTGAATCTATGAGAACATGCACCCTGCTCATCCCCAATAATAAAAAGGCACCTCAAGTGCATCTTCGGTGATTTTCTTGCCCACACAACTCAGTGTATTCCTGAAGCCCTTTTTATCATACTCATAGGCTTTAAGTCATAGCTGTGGCCTGCTTCAACATCATTGCTCAACTAAAGAGCAATACTGACAAAAACTGTGGCAGGAGCAATTTTCTGTCTGCATCCCAGACAGCTTTTATAGGTGCACACATGAGGGGAAAAAAAGTAATAGTTTTATTTCATTCTATTCTCTCAGAAAGCAATTGTACAAAGTGAAGAAAATGAAACTTCACTGCTTTCACAAACTGGAGGACATCAGACTACAGGGATTTAAAATCCAACTCCTTCAGTTAGTTATGTGGAAAACAGAAAAAGGAACTTTACTTTCTAAGCACGTGTTTCTCTCCTCCACACAGGAGAATACACATCTAGAGGTGTTGGGTCATCTCATTACATAATGTAGGGTAAATGGGACTTCATAAAGAGCACAGAAAAGTTCACACTACAGTCAACTCCCCACTTATGATGATTGAGTTTATGATTTTCAATGTAGGCCTTTTCTTTCATTAGCCCTAAATAATTATCCCAACGTAGGCTAAAAGATGTTTACCCTTTATTTCTCGTGGTGAACAATTCCAAAACTCAGAGGGCAACCTTAGCCTCTCACCTGTCAGGCTCTTCAATCCTTCTGTGAAAAGTGACTGGAATTCTGGAGACTGCAACTTCATTGTAAATAGGTGTCGCTTCAGAAGGCACAATCTACTCCAACTACAGCTCAGGACCTGCCTGTGCCAAGGAACAGTCTGCTGTAGCATCTGGAGACAGTCACCAACCACACATCTACAAGGCAAACACACGGGTAGGCTAATAAACTTCAAAATGAAGGCAAACAAATACTGGGTCAGACAGCTCAACTAGCACACTCAACTCTCGGGACAAGAACCAGTAAGTAACCCTTTAAAGAACACAAAACCTCTCTGATGGCAGCCACCCAGTGTTGTACTCGTGATAAGTTTGAAATATTGGAAGCAGGAGGGGATGAGTCCCCAGAAGATGAAATATTGGGCAGGGGAAGAGCAGGTCTCCAGGACCCAAAGTTACGCATGCTCATACCCTCACTTCCCCACCCACCATCAGCCTCAGCGTTACTGCCTCCAAAGTTGGAACTTGGCGGGGTTGCCCCGGCAGTTCTGTCCCTCTGCGCGACCTCCGCGAGGGCGGCAGCCCTTAAAGGAAAAGTGTGGCGCCGCGAAGCAGCTACCCTCGAGCAGGCCACGTGTCCTGGAAACGCCTGCTTTCGCTCCCAACTCAACTCTGCAAACTGCTGGGAACCCGCCCTGAGACTCTGTGAAGAGACGCCCGGCGCACGCGGTACCGGCGGGCTCGCCTCCGGTACCTTAGGAACACCCAACATTCCTACGCCAAGGGCCTGCTTACCCGCGGGCAGCCGCCCCCCCCGCACTTCCGGGTCGCGGCGCAGTGACGTCAGCAGGTACTGAGGATACGCAGCAAATGAGACGCCGGGACGGGTTCGCCCACTCCCTCCGGGTTTTCAAGAGGCTCGGGCTCCTCCTGCGCCTGCGTGCAGTAAGGTAGCAATCTGCCCGCTTTAAATGGAGAAAATGAGCAGTGTGCGCTTCTCTGTGCTTGAAGTCCCCCAATACACTTTACCCAAGCAGTTACCCGCTCTGCGTGACCACTGCCACCTGGTGTGGCGCCTTCACCAGGCAACGTGAAGAACTCGGGTTTGATTAAGTCCTTTGCAAAGTAGAGAGACTGGCAGAACTTGGGAAAACAGAACTGCGACTGAAAATTCCTGAATCTTTCTAAAAAGTTTCTTTGAACAAGAAAGGAAACGCTTTAGTATTTCTGTACTTCCTATCACCCGGTCCCTTATCTTCCGGGGACATGGGTGTTTACATTCTGAAGCGACAAACTCCTGGTCCCACTGGAGACACAGTGGAGACTTCGTCCAAAGCCTGGGGGAGCAAAGAAGCTCAGATCCTTGGGCTTTATCCCAGAGGACTAAGTGGATAATATTAGGATAAACTCTATAAAAGAGATAACTGACACTGAGGTCAGGAAAATGTCTAAGGGACAGAAACTCCATTGTAAAAGGTGTGCAGTTTTTTCGCCTGCTGCCGATCATAAACTGCTACCAAGCCACCAGCCCCAAATAACACACAGAGACTCTGTATTTGATACAATACTGTTGGCCCAGTTACTTGTTACTTATCGGCTAGCTCTGCCTTTAATTATTAACCCATTTCTATGTATCTTCACACATGGCCTTCTCTTACCGGGAGGCGGCTGGCGTCAAGCTCTCTCAAGACTCTCCATCTTGACCCTCCTTACTACTTCCCTCTTTCCTCCTTGTCTCCTAGTCCCTCATATCTTCTTTTCCTATTGGCCAACAGTGCTTTATTATTAACCAGTATGAGAAACATATACAGAATGACATCTCCCATCATCTCCTCTTTTCTGTCTAAATAAAAGAAAGGGTTTTAACCTTAACATAGCAAAATATATAACATAACAGTTATCCAATAAGAATCACTGTCAACAATATTTAGTCCATTAACATTTAGCAAGATTTAAGAAAATATTTTATCATCTATTTTATCTTTGTGTGTTTAAAGTCTATTAACTTATCTTTAATCCTAATGAAAACTATAACCATAACTATCTGTCTTTAACTCCTTCAAAGACCACAGAAGGATAATATATAAGCTCTAGAAATGACAGAGACATCTTAAGTGATCAGTCACCTGAAGTTCTTCTGTAATCTTTCATCTTCAGCCCATAGGCCATAGTGTGTCTAGCAGACTCTTTAGCAATGTAGGAAACTTTAAACTGTCTTTTTGTATTGGCAGTTTGTCAGTCACTTTTCTCTGATCCTGCAGACTGTCTGGCAGACTCTTCCATGAAGCAGGAACTCTGTAGCAATGCCTATCTTGAATCAGCAGTCACTTTTCTGTGGATCCTGCATGTCCAGTTTATACATTACAAAGTCAAACAGTCCAGACAAGAGCAGTATCTTGTCCAAATGGCTAGTCTTGCCACATTGGAAGCAA